TTGCAGAGTTTTGAAACAGATGTGCTCGGCGCTAGGGCGAGCGCCACACTTTGAGAAACACCCGCCCTCCATTGGCGAAGCGGCAGCCCGTGTCCTAAGCCTCACGCTTACAGAGGGGCAAGGGAGTCTCCAGCGAGACGCCCTGCCGGGCCTTTGGTTTGGCCTCGGGCTGCGACAGGGCGGAGTTGATTATGATTCAAGGGCGTGAATCACCGCCCACCAAACCACCCCAACCCAACCCGAAGGCCCCAATGTGTCCTCCATTTCCAGTTGGGGGGGTCGGGGAACGTTGAGAAAACACACATGAAACCCGTACCGCCCCAACCCGAAATTCGGGTCTTCGGGTTGGGTTGGGGTGGTTTAATAGGTAGTCAAAAAAGCGCCCTACCCTGGTTTACGAGGCGCTGTGCGCTGAACCTCCTGTGGGCTTGCAGGGCAGACCCTGCACATCGCGCGCGTCGCGCGGCGTCCCGGCGGCTCTCTGGCCTCTCGGAGCTCCCAGGAGGTTTGCGGGCCACGCACTTGCAGCCCAGGGTAGGGGCGTTTTTGCATCCCTGAACTGATGGAGGAGGAGGAAGAGGAAGAGGCGGAGGAGGAGGGAGGCGAGGAGGCGGCTTGGAGGCCTGTTGGGCCGTCGCGGGGTCGTCCTGCGGCGATATTGGACCCCCTTAGGCCGCCGGAAGGCCGAACAGAGCCAGTGCCACAAGCACTGCTCGGGCGCCTTCGGGGCTCCAGGGGGGAACTCGCGTAGAGGAAGCGGCCTTTCGTCGACAGCGACATCGTCCAGCCTCTGTTGGCCCTGCTCTGAAGGTATTACGCCCTGTCGGTTTTCAATTTTGAGTCGTCCGACCCATGTCCAGCCGTCGTTCACATCCATACACTTCGGGACCTGCCGCAATGTTCATCACGCGCCACGCACACATGCCCATGCAGTCGAGCCCGTTTATTTGCGCGCATGCCCCTCATGTGCACTGGGAGCCGCACGAACGCTTCCACCAAGGTTTGCTCGGGGTGTCATTCAGGCCACCGCCCATGCTCGACATGTTTCGTCCGTCGCTGGAGCACTAATTCACCGGAGTCGAGTTCTTTCCGCGGCGGGGCCATTGCGACCGCTGGCGACCCAGGTGCATCACAACAGCGCGGCGACAACCGTCCGACTGAAACAAGAACGCGCGTCACGCCCAACTGCGGTGCCCCCGTTATCGCTCACGACATTGTCCCACGAACAAGGGCTGCGTTGCATACGTGTGCCGTCAGAGTGCCACCCTGCGCCACGAAGGCTTGTCCATCCCGCGTCCCCAGAGCCCGCGGTCCAAAGTGCCTCGCCAACCAACTGCCACCAACATTGCACTTCTGCTCCATTGTGTCGAGTAGCGGCGTCGTTAGGTCGTCCGACGACGCCACATGCTGCCTCTGCCTGTCCTCCTGCTTGCCCTGCGCAGCCCATGAATGCGGGGGCCGAAGCACCCCTGACTCCGCGGGCCTCTGTCGAATGTGCGCGCGAGCAGCCACCGCGCCCCGCCCAGAGTCGGCCTCCGAACGATCTGTGGCCCGCATCGGGCGACTGTGCTTCGCTGCCTGTTGTGGCGTCGTGGCGGCACTGGGCGGCACCGAGGGGTGCTGCCGTGCGTGGGCGCGCAAAGGCAACCCGGGCGTCGACCGACGTGGTGGCTGTGTGTGTGTGCAGCGTCTGGACAGCAAGGCCCCGAAGCCGCCCCAGGGCAGCGCTCCCGGGGCGCCCTTGAACCACCGCTGGGGCCCTGCAGCCGGAAGTCGCCGGAAGTTGCTCCCAGACGCCCGCGGACGCCTCTGGATGGCACGCCGCGCTCCCGATGCGCCCCCACGCAGGCCTCCTCCAGACGGCCCAGACCGTTCTTCCCCAGACGCTCCACGAGGGTTCCCCCCCATGCAGCCCCCAAGAGGGTCACAACACTCAGAATTCACCCGTTCCGTGAAGGTTCGACCATTTTCGGTGCTTCCGTCTTTCCGGCTTGCCGACGCTCCAAACCAGCCCTGGGAGCACCAATGCCCGCCCCGAAACGGGGTACGGGCGCTCGTCTAAACGGCGCCCATATTGTCGCAGAGGCAGCAACCTTGCCCCGAGACACTCGGGGGCCCCCAAACGGTGTGGTGACCACACCGTGCTGTGAGTCGGTCGGGATTGGGGTCACCGCACGGTTTTGGGACTCGAGTCCTTCTCTGAGGACGTCTCGGGCGACAGGTCCCAAAACCGTGCGGTGACGGACCGTTCGGTGAGGTCTTGGGGGATTTCGAGGTCACGGCACAGTCAGTCACAGCACCGTTTCGGGACTCTCGAGACACCCCCAGGCCAGCCCAAAAAGGCACCGAGTCGTCCCCAAGTCGCCAGAAAGCCACTCCCAGACGCACACCACGCTCCCGAGGCGTTCACAAAAGGCTTTCAGACGGCCCACGATGCCCCCCAGGCGCTCCAAGAGTGGCCCCGGAGGCAAAAAGCGTTGACCCCCATCAGTTCTTCGATTGTTCTTCGGGCCGCTTTCTTGAAGACGCTCCAAACCAGCCCCAGGAGCACCGACAGTCACCTCAAGACTGTTTCACGGAGCTCTCCCCAAAGGGCGCCCACGCTTCCCAAGAGGCCCCCAAGCCGCCCCAGGGCACCTCCATCGACGGCCCGAACTGGCACCGATTCGCCCCCGGAGTCACCCGAAGATCTGTCCCAGGCGCCCGCGGTCCCTCCAGATGGCCCTCCACGCTCCCGAGGCGTTCCAAGAAGGCGCCCAGACGGCCCACAAAGCCCCCCCCTCAGAAGGCCCAAGAGGGCCCCAGACGGCCCCCCTAGAGGTCCCAACCGGCGCAATTCATCTGTGATTCCATCGGTTCTCAAAGGTTTGTTGGATTTCCGCGTGTTTGGCTTGCCGCCGCCCCAAACGAGCCCCCAAAGGACCAACATCCGCACCAAGACGGGGTCAGAGCTCCCCCCAGAAGGTGCCCCCGAGTCGTGGGAAACTCACTCCCAGACGCCCGTGATCGCGACCAGATGGCCCACCACTCCCAAGGCGTTCCACGAATTCTTCCAGACGGCCCACAACGACCCCAGAAGCTCCAAATGTGGACGCCCCCCTTTGGCTTCTCTAGAAGGTTCGTCCCATGGGTTGCCCAAAGTTGTTTGAGCTCCCGCCTTTTCAGTTCAGAAGGCAGACGACAACCCACGAATAGTCAACGACCACTCAAGACTGATCCGAGCCCTTGGACCGTAAAAAGGGCCCCACGTTTTCGTCGTCTCCTCTTCCTCCTCTTCGTCATCCTCGTCGTCGTCGTCTTCGTGGGCAGCGGAGGTTCCGCAACTCTCGCCAGGAGGAAAAAATCCTGCGGAACAGGGGGCCCCAGGTTTTAACGGTTTCGGCCTCCTGGGGCATTCCCGAGGGCCAAAATCCGAAAGACCTCGAACCGTTACTTTCGAACCTCGTCCCTCCCCCTCCTCGAGGCTCGCGACGGCTCTTGATCGAGGGTTTTGGGGGGAGGAGGAGGAGGAGGAAATTGGGGAGGGGGAGGGGGATGAACAGGGGCTGACGGAAGACGGGTAAGATGAGGAGAAGGAGGGGTAGGGAGAAGGAGGAGGATGCAGGAGGAATGGTGCCGGATCAGGGGCACACGGGGGGCAGGGGAGGAAGGAGGAGGCGAGTGGTGAGGAGGAGAGGGAGGGAGCAGGGGAGGAGGGTGGCACAGGGGAAACAGGGGAGGAGGAGGAGGAGGACCACATAGGAGCGAAGAGGGAACATGGAGAGGGGAAAGGGTGAGCCACGGAGGGAGCAGAGAAGGGACAAGAGGAGGAGGAGGAGGAGGAGGAGGAGGAGGAGGAGAAGGAGGAGGAGGAGGAGGACCACAGTAACGGCTAGGACCGAGGGCGGCGAGGACAGGAGAGGGCCGAAGCGGACGGGGCCCCCGCAAAACCCCACATGTAGGGAGTTTCGCAGCGTCGCCCATGACACGAGCGAGAACCAGAGCCGTGGATTACCTGCGACTAGATACTAAGCGCGCGGAGCGCGCGCGTGGTTCTAGTGTATATATGCGTACACATGTATCTATACATCTGGTCGCCCCCCCCCCAGCAGCCGCCCAAACCACCCAAACAGCAACACGTTTAATGATTGTTGCCGCATCCGTCTCCTCCTCCACTTCCTCCTCCATTTCGTTTTCCTCCGTTCTCCTTCTGCTCCCGGTCCTCTCCTTGCTCCTCCTCCTCCTCCCGTTCCTCCCCCTTCCCTTCCCCCCCCTTCTCCCTTCCTCGCGCCAGATCCGCCGCGGCAGGACATGTGGTCATCATTATGTGTCTTCCCAGTTGTCTGAACCGAGCAATTCAGACACACTGTGTTGTCCGATGTCCAAGCAGGTTTTCTACGATACAAGCGTTATGTGTTTTCATATTTGTTTTATGTTTTCGGATTTCTGCAGGGACTACTTACCCAGTCTGCAACATTGAAATAGTCTGAAACTCTGACAACACAAAGCGTTTTAAATGTTGCGGGAAGTCTGACCAATTTGAAAAATTGAAAACACAGCCCGTTTCAATTGTACGTTCTTGGAACATGAAAACATATTGATTTGTTGTGTTGTTCGCTTGTCGCTCTCATTCTCTCTCTAGATGTATAGTTATTTCTCTCTCTCTTTCTGTTCCTCCCTCTCCCCCTATACCTCTCTCTCGACCCCCCATATACCCTCCTGCTTACACATTCAATTCAACTTCTCAGATTGCCCGAACTGTTGTAGTGCTTCTTGCGTTTGCGTGTCGCTACACTGCGCGCGCGCTAAGCAACATCATCTGCGAAAACAGTTAGTGATTAGCTGCGCAAGCCGGAACTTGGCGGGGCAAGTCGAAACCAATAATTAGGTGTATCTGCGCACTTTTCGCCTTGGCACCTTCGCCACGCTGGCCCAACACATCGCAACGCAGGAAGCATGCTAGGGTGAAGCTACACGGTGCATGTCTGGCTCATGCGGGAACAGCACATCGGCGTGCAAGTCAAAACTGCCGCAGATTCTACAGCATCTTGTGGAAGCAGTTCGGAGCCTCTCTGGGCTACAGCTCCTCCCGCCTGCTCTTTAGAGGGCCGCACCTCGGTGCGGGAACGGGGGTCTCGTCTCGTCGTCTCATCGACCCCTCCATCCCTTCCACCTCCACTTGCTTTTCATCAGCCATTTCGGCTGAACCCTTTTGGGTCAACCAGTTTTGAGTGGTGCCGGAGCACTCGTGGGACGCAGCGGACCTTCCTCACCTTTTCCGGGGAACCGTACGACTCGAGTTCGCCAGAAGTTTGGATGACCGACGACGCCATTTGACGGGCCCGTTCCAGATCTTGACGATGCAGCTTCCGTGGGATGTCTGCAGAGGGAGTTCGTCAAATTTCTGCTTGGGTCTCGTCATTTTCCTGGTGCCCCCGTCAGGCCAACCCACAAGTCCCCCGAACCCGGGTCCTGCGTCTCCCCGATGCTCACGCCCTCCCAGCAATGCCACGCCGGGCCATGCACTGCGTGCGCGCCCTCTTCGGGCGCCCCCGCGTCCGGGGGCCGGCGCAGCACCTGGCGGAGCCGCTGGCGAGCGAGGTGCCCGAGCAGACCCCGGAGGACCTCGAGTCTCTGAAGACTGCCGCCGCGGCCGAAGCCCAGGCCGTGGAGGCCACCGTGGGAGCCGCGCCCCAGCCGTGCGACGAGCAGCCGCCGCCGGCCGCAGAGGCGGCCTGCAGGCCGGAGCAGGCGCCAACAGAGGCCGGCAGCCAGGTGCCCGCACCGGAGCAGGCGGCAGCGGCCGCCGAGACGGCGGCGGCGGCGGCTGCCCCTGTGGAGCCGCAGCGGCAGCAGGAGCCGGCGGCGGCGGAGGTGGCAGCATCCACCGTCAGCATCGTGTAGCTTACGGTCGGACCCAACAATAGTCAAAAGATATTCAGGGACGAGTTTTTGAATTTTTCCCAACCGTCCTGTGGTTTTGGGTCCTCGTTTTGAAGAGACGGTCCCCGCGTTCACTCCTCCTCCTCCTCCTCCTCCTCCTCCTCCTCCTTCCGCTGCCCACTCCCTCCTCTCATCATCATCATCATCATCATCATCATCATCATCATCATCATCATCATCATCATCATCATCATCATCATCATCATCGTCATCAGCAGCAGCAGCAGCATCATCATCAGCATCATCATCATCGTCACTATCAGCCCACCGGCGCCCGCGTGCGCCCGCCACGCCCACTACAGCGCTTCGCGGCCCCAGACGGAGCGTCACCGACGGCCCCACTGGGGGTGACCGCATGCATCCGCACGCCCAATGCAGCGCTTCGTGGCGTCATGGGGAGATCCACCGAAGGCCCCAGTGGGGGCGCCCGCGTACGTTCGCCACGCCCACTGCAGCGCTTCGTGGCCCTATATGGAGCTCCACCGAAGGCCCCACTGGGGGTGCCCGCGCGCGCCCGCCACGCCCACCACAGCGCTGCGTGGCCTCTTAGGGCGCCCCATAGAAGGCTCCCGTGGGGTTGAACGCATGCGCCCGCCACGCCCAATACAGCGTTTCGTGGCATCATGGGGAGATCCACCGAAGGCCCCAGTGGGGGTGCCCGCGTGCGTCCGCCACACCCAGTACAGCGTTTCGTGACCCCACAGGGGACTCCACCGAAGGCCCCAATGGGGGGGCCGCACGCGCCCGCCGCACCCACTGCGGCGCTTCGTGGCCCCATGCGGACTTCCACCGAAGGCTCCAGTGAGTGTGCCCGCGTGCGCCCGCCTTACCCACTACAGCGCGTCGTGGCCCCATACGGAGTTCCACCGAAGGCCCCAGTGGGGGTGCCCTCGTGCGCCCGCCACACCCACTACAACGCTGCGTGGCCCCAGACGGGGCTCCACCGAAGGCCCCAGTGGGACTGACCGCGTGCGCTCGCCACACCCAGTACAGCGCTTTGTGGCCCCATATGGAGCTTCACCGAAGTCCCTAACGTGGACGCCCGCACGCGTCCGCCACACCCAGTACAGCGCTCCGCGGCCCCATAGGGAGCTCCACCTGAGGTCCCAACAGCGCAGCCCGCATGCGTCTCCCCCACCCAGTCAAGCGTTTCGTGGCCCCATAGGGAGCTCCACCGAAGGTCGCAATCGCGCCGCCCGCATGCGTCTCCCCCACCGAATACAGCGTATCGTGGCCCCGTGGGGGACTTCACCAGTGGCGCAGCCCGCACGCGTCTCCCCCACCCAGTACAGCGCTTCGTGGCCCCAGTGGCGCAGTCCGCACGCGTCTCCCCCATTCACTATAGCGTTCCCTGGCCGTACAAGGGGGCTCCACCGAAAACGATATTCACAACTACTGTATGCACAAGTGCATATGGTTGGGTCTTTCGCCAGGTTAAGTTCTGACTAGTTCGATGTTTTGTTCTGTACGTTCTTTGGTTCGTCCCACATCCGCCTGCAGGGGGACATGCCCGACCTGAACCCAGGTACAGGATCGAGGTCGGTTCGGGAAGGGTGCCCTGATGTTCCTGTCGTGTGTCGGATGTTCGTGTGCATCCTGGAGCGTAGTGGCCGGCGGAGGGTACCATGATTTTGAAATTGTTTCTTCTGTCCTAGGTTTAACAGTACCTTAAGGGAAGGCCAAACGTACCCTAGAGAGGGTGCCTCGGGGCCCGTCTCGGGACGCCTGACGGCCGCGTGTTGGCGCCCACCGTGGCTGGAACCGTGGCGGCGCGGTGGCTACCACACCTCTCTGGGGGTACGGCATCCTAGGGGTACGTTTGGCCATTCCCAAAGTCTAGGCCTCCTAAATGGGGTCCGAGTAGGGGTCGGAGGACCGCGCCGTACCGTCGATGCATCGGCGATGCGGCTCGATGTGGAGCCCGATGTTCTCCGCGCTGGCGTCGCCGAGGCATCGCCGATGTCGCCGATGCATCGGCGGCTCGGCGCGATCCTCTGACCCCATTTGCTCCGACCCCATCTAGGAGGCCTTTACATCATCCTGTCCCCCATCGGACCACGGCACCTCAGCCCCACTATCACGCCGCCCCCGTACCCGTAAGGGAGATGTACTTCTCGAGGCCCGAGGGGAACAGCCTGACTATCCCCGCTTGGGGGGTGGGGTGGGGGCAAGCCGACCACAGTGGGGGCCAGGGCCGCGCCGGTGGGAACAGGGATCGGCGAAGCGATGCCCGCGCGGCGAGCCAGGCTCCGGCTTCCGGGGGCGCGGCGGCGGCTGCGTCCGTCGATGATCTTCAGGACGTGTGATAGCCCAGTGCGTGTCGACCCCGTTCAACCTGACCAGTCGATCATCACATCGCCTTCGCCGCAGTGCAGGGCCTCAGTGGGCAAACGCACGTTGGCGCTTGCACACGTCCTGAGGATATTCGAGTGCGAGCCGGCGTCCGTGCCCGCGCGCGAGGAAGCTTTGGCGGCGACCAGCGAGGTGGCGCCAGCTCCCGCCGCCCCCGCGGAGCTGCAGCGGCAGGATCGGGCGGCGGCGAAGCCCGGCGGCGAGGCCGCGAGGCCGGGGGGGAGCCCGCAGGGTCTCGGGCAGCGCCGGGGCCCGAGGCTTCAGTCGGGGATGCCCCATCTACAGTCGGGGGAGCGTAAGACCCGGGTTTGCCAGGACTCGGGTTCGCCATCGTTTTTTGACGGCCGCACATCGGATTTTGACGAGGAGGAGTTTCGTGGGATGTCTGCAGCGGGAGGCCTCGTCAAAATGCAGGCTCGGCCTCGTCATTTTTTTGACGACCTTGTCGGGGATTTCCGAGTCCACTGTACCCAGATCTTACGTCCCCCTGATACAGGAGGCGTATTCGAAAATAGTCAGAACAATAGTTTGGGGACGATGTTTTGAGCATTTGTTTGACTTGGTTTGAGTTTATTGTTTCAATTCTCCGTCCAAAATCCACCTGCAGGGGGACATGCCCGACCTGACCGCTAGGGGGGCCTAGGATCAGGTGGGGAGGGGCCCGCTACTCGCCGAGAGGGCCCCGAGAGAGCCCCCCCAAGCCGGCCTGGGAACGGCGGGTGTTCCGCTGATTATCCGAGGTCTATCGCCGCTCCCTTGGCGAGATGCATCGCTCGAAGAAGAGCAAAAACACCATAAACACACACGCACACACACGCACACACACACACACACATTCATTTGGCGCTCCGCGCGGATTTCCTGAATCCGCGCTGCGCCCCCCTGACGGCGCCTCGGTGCGCCCCTGGCGCGCGGAGCTCGCCAGGGAGGGGGGTCCAGCGCAGATCCAAGAGATCCGGGCGGAGCACCAGAAGTCCATGGTCATGGCGGTTTTTTTTTCTTCTGGAGATACCTCGCCTGGTCCAGGTCGATGGTGTTCCCCTCCTGGGCCGGTCCGTCCCCCCTGGCGTTGGCCGTCGCAGGAGGCTGCAGAGCCGGGACCTCTGGAGGCGAAGCGCAGGGACCCAGCGACGGGCAAGGCTCTGACGTACCAGGCGCTCCTGAAGCAGTACAAGGATGGAACAGCATCAATCTACATTCCGTGTTGGTGAGCGTTTTTCCACTATCAGTGTTTGCACTGAAGGGGTCCTAGCGGAAGTTGAAAGATTTGGCGAAAGTTCCCGCCGAATTTGGTAGCAGGCTGGATTCCCAGGTTCCGGTTTCCTGGGTCCCCGGTCGGTTCCAGGCCGATTTCGGTGGGTTCTGGGTCCCCGGGCTCCCAGGTTCCCGGTCGATCTCCTCAGGGAAACCATAGCATCCAATGATTGAGATTTTTCTCTGGTGTAATTTCATTTATTGTTTTGCCGATCGGCGCGGGCCCTCGCACCCCACCCTTTCCCCCCCATGGAATAAATCTGGGTTGTTTTCGGCGCCTGTTTCCAGAAGGTGGGGTCTTCCCCATCGGGCGCACTGTCGCAAACGGTCGCACTAAGCAGAGGTCCGGAGCCAGACCCCCCTCCACTCCCGCTTTTCCGCCCAATCTCGAAACGCCGAATCAGAAAACGCTCACGTACATTCCGTGTTAGCCGGCATGGGCCGCCATCAGTAGGTGTTTGCGTTATCAGTGCGCCATGTGTGTCGCAGTGGGTGCATGCTGAGTACTATGGGGTGCTATCCATATGACGTGCACTTGGTGTATGGTGCAATCTACATGGCGCAATTGATCATGGAGGGACTTACAGTTGTTACCTCCTCTGCTTTGGCGAACATCCAACCCTCCAAACCGCAACTGATTGAGAAATCTCATGTGGCCATGATCTCAACGAGCGCACGGGCGCGAGGAGCTCCATCGCGCAGACAAGTTCGTTTAGTATGTCGTACAATGATGGTGGTGATGCTGAAGACCGCGACGCCGACGATGACAGTGGTGATGACTCCGATGCCGATGGTGATGAGAGTGGGTGATGGGAAGATACGATGTCGACGGCGAGGACGGTGATGGTGATAAAGATGATCGTGATGAAAATGACGGTGGCAACGATGACGCCTGCGATGATGATGGTGGTCATTGTGTAGGTTTCAGTGTGTTGGTGATGATGTTGTCGATGATGATGAATGAAGATGAGGATGTGGTTGAGGATGACGATGATGTTGATGCTGATTATGATTATGATGATGGCTGTGATGACGTTGCTGATGGTGCTGATGGTGCTGATGCTGTTGTTGATGACGATGCTATTGGTAATGATGGTGCTGAGGAGGAGGAGGAGGAGGGAAAGACCCGCTAGCAGAAACTTGACTAAGGCGACTGCCTCCATGATGACGATGATGTCGGTGGTGATTTTGAGGAGGATGGTGGTGGTGGTGGTGTTGATGATGTTGTTGATGCGGGTGATATTGATGATCGTGGTGGTGATGATAATGATGATGCTGATGATGGCGATAAGGATTGCAGTGCCCACGCTGATGATAATAATAATATTGCTTGTTGTGCTCATGAGGTGAATGATGACGTGCGCGCCCGCAGGCATTCTGAAACCATGGCAGATTGTCTGTAAGCACTGCTTGATCGTATGTATTTTAACACATTGGTGCTGAACTTCTCGGAAGCCGGGCAAGGGCTGCTAAATCAGTGGCTGCTAAAATCGAGCTCCGGGAATTTGTTTTCGTCCTTTTGGGAAGAAGCCCGTTGACTTTTTCGCGTGCCGTGCCTCATTCTGGGAAGTTGTTTTTTTTCCTTCCGAGAGTGTCGAACTTCTTAGCGTGCGAAGTTCTCTCGAAGGATGTCGACGTGCACGTGAGGATGTTCGCGCACGGAACCCGTATTCTATTGTCTGATGGAGTTGGCGGGCGCGCCATGGTGGTTGAACAGTTTCGACATGTGCGCGCAATTTGGCCGCATGTTTGTACTTGGCAGAACTGCTAAACACTTATGATCGCTTCAGGATTTCAACGGTTGCGCGCACTGGCGCTGAATTCTGGCATGTGTCGTTGGCATCCATAGTTAGTTCTAACAGTTTTTGAGTGGCTATGCTGTGGGCGTTTTCGAACAATTGGACTTTTGTGTGTTTGGCATGTGCGAACAACGGCGAGCGCATGTACCCCACATCGTACACGCTGCAAGACAACTTTTTAGATCCACGTGTGCGCACCGCATAACCTGTTGCTTGCAGGACGGCAGTGTAGACCGATACCCATTTTATCACTTGCGAGGCCCAGTCGATACCTCCTCCTTACCCAGGCATCAGGAGCCCAGAAGTAACAGTAGTGACAAGACTTGGATGGCCGGCCGCCTCGGACTCGTAAAAGAAAGTGGGGGCCCCCTAGGGCGGTGTCTCCCGCCCGAGGCCTCGCCGCGATTCATTCATAGGCAAGGCTTCCGCTCGAGACGTCCTTGCGCTTCATGCCTCAGGAGCCCAAGAGCGACGACAGAGAAAGTTTGTGGATGGCCGCATCGGATACGTAAGATGAAGCCGGAGTCCCACAGGGAGGGGCACCCCCTCGAGGTTTCGTCGCGACGTCGCGAGGTTCTGTCTCTCGAGACATCCTCGCGGTTCGGGCCTCAGGAGAGCCCAAAAGTGACGATAGTTACAGCTGCGGGATGTTTTGCTCGGTTTCGTAGCATGAAATGGTGACCCCATCAGGAGGGGGTCTCCCACTCGAGGCCTCGTCGCGATTCGCTCGCAGGTGAGGCTCCCGCCCGACTCATCCTCGTGGTTCAAGCCTGAGCAGCCCATGCGCTACGACGGTTACAGGTTCTGGGATGGCCGCCTCGGGCTGGTTACATGACGCTGGGACCCCATCTGGAGGGAGCTTCCGCTCGAGACGCACTCGCGAGTCACTCACAGACGAGGCTCGCGCTCGAGACTTCCTCAAGACTAGGGTATGTGAGTGTTTGAGTTGGTGTGTGCGTGCGCATGTGAGCGCGTGCGTGCGGGAGTGCTTGTGTATGGCCAGGGTCCGCTGGCTCCCCGCCCCCGGCGCCCGCTCCGCCACCGCTGGGGCTTGCCTGAGTGGGCCCGGCTTCCTCTCTCCCCGCCCGCGCCGGGCTTCCTCTCTCTTCTCAGGAGGGAAAGAAACACACAGACACAATGAATCGTCGACCCCCAAATATTGGAAAATATGGG